AAATTTGGGACATTACAAATATCATCATTACCACTATACTCAAAGTGTACAGAGAGATTCTAGAGGTCTGAAGTGATGTAATGGGTTGCCCAGAGTCAACAATCCAATGATTGTCATTATTATTGTTGCTGGAGTCAATTATGAAGTTTGTCTGCGGTTTAGTGTTTGGAGCTGAGCGGGATTTGCATGCTTTGGCACCGTGATATGGCTTATCACGAAGTTGATAGACGACACGAGGCTGAAAATTGTGAGACCGGGGTCGCCTTTAGTTATAGACGTGTCCACCACTATAAAAGCAATTGTTGGAGTTGCCTATGTGTTGTGATTGGTTAATATATGAAGAATAAGCATTTTTATAGTTTGTGGAGTTGGTGAAGTGAGGGCCATTGCTTTTGTTTCTATTGTTGTTTCGTGAGAGGTAATAAGCAATGATTGGTCTGTTCTCTATATTCGCTTTAGAATGTTTTAGAATCACTTCAAAATCAGCAAGTTTGTCATGTAACTCCTCAAATGAAATGAGAGAGTTTCGGGCTTCAATTGTAGAGCTAAGTTCCTTGAACTCTGGTCCAAGACCTTTGAGTACGGCATCGATGAGCTCATCATCATTCATTTGTGAGCCAGGAAAAGAAAGAGTTTCTGAAGTGCTCTTGACTGTTTGCATATAATCAGCGATGCTCATATGTTCGGCGGTAGTATGTGGTAGAATCTCTCGAAGCCCCATAACTCGAGTATGAGATTTACTATCATACGTCCTCTCCAAACAGTTCCAGGCATCTGCAACAGTGTTGCAGAGGTTATTAAGGTTAGGAGTGTTTAATTTTGGATTTCATATGGGTTATGGGGTCTTTTATGAATTTGGGTTTTCTTGTTTCTTGTTGAGTTTTGTGCTTTCCTTGATGATGCTACAAAATGCAAAGAAAGAACTTAAGAATATGATCATTTTTAGATATTTTGTTTTTCTTAAAAATAATGTCGATGTTGATTTGGTAATCTTGATGTTGATGTCAAAATCGAGTTGATGATCTCTAGCTTGAATTTGAGTTATAAAAGTTAAAATTTTAGGGACTTGCTTCCATTTTTTATTGCTTCTTGTGTGAAGGCGCTGAAAGGTTTGAAAAGATTTTTGTTTTCCTTTTTTTTATGCTGGAAATAGAATTGTTTATAAATCAGAGGTCTGATTGCTGAGATTTGAGAAGGAGATCAACAATGGCGACTTATTCCTGATACAGTTTGATGTCAAGCTCTTATAAATTTAGGTAGGGACACAATGTGGAAATGATGCTTTCTAAAGAATTTAAAGTTATATTCCTTCTTCCATCTTTTGTGGTTTTCTTTTACAATGTGATAATCATGCTTGATTTTGTGGAACTTAATAATAGTGCACTTTTATCCTCTCGATCACATATGTTTATGTTCCGAGGGTATATTGGAAGAAGGAATATGTGGAAGAACTTGTATTCTTCTTCTCGTGAAAAATTGAGGACACAACTCTCACATTTAGGTGTACTGTCAAATCTGTGCATGCTTTGCTCATCTTTATTGTTTTTCTCATAACTATTACTCAAGTATGAATTAGGGGCTAATCTATAACAGTCCAAAGTCTGACTTGTTTGAGCTTTTTTAGGTTTGGTCATTGGTGAGGGGATTTGATCAACCACAGAAATCTTGCCCTTTATTAGCAGGTGCTCTACTCAGTGTGATCTAAAGATTGGAAGTGTCCGGGAGGTGAACGTAAACGGGACTTCCTGCCACATCCAGCACTGAGAGGTTGGAACTGCTCGATGACAAGGAGCACATGCTCGGGATCAAAATTTAGGCTAAAGGTATGGATCTTTTAGCCATTCACATGTAGTATATTCTGTTTCTTGAGGTAATATCTGAATTATAGAATCAATAATTCCTGACTCGATTACTTTTGGTGACTAAAATTAATTAACGGTGTTTTTAACCACTTTTGCTTCTCCCTCTATATTTGTGAATAGCCTTGCATTATGAGAACTCAAATTTGAGCTGTTATATTAAATTTTGGTGGTTCTTCATCTAAAATCGTTCTTATAATTATGATACTGTGTTGTATTATTTAGAGGTGTTGATTAGTTTTGAATAAATTGAAAGTAGTTCTCTTTCATTTTAATTTTATCAATCTAATCAAATTTCTCTGGCAAATCCTCTCTTTGTTATCTGTTTTAGGTAAACGAACGAACTTGGGATTTCAATTTTCTTTGAATTTATTTCCCTTATTCCTTGTGTTGTATGTCTTGCCATTTAAATACCTTTGGATGGTTTATAGGAACACTTCAAGTGGCCAAACATGTTTATATAACTTACTTCTTCTTTTTTTCTTTTTCTTTTTCTTATATATATATATATATATATAT